TTTTTTTTTTTTTTTTTTTTTTTTTTTTTTTTTTTTTTTTTTTTTTTTTTTTTTTTTTTTTTAATACGATTGAGATCTTCTTCTTTTTCTTCATTTGTCAAATGTTATACGCGTACCACGTACGTAATTTTTTTTTTTTTTTATTTTCATCTGAATGCAATGTGCCTTTGCTCTCTTAGTCGATCGAACTTGTGCCAAGTATGCTAAAAAAAACTGTACTACCTTTTTTTGTGTTTCTTTTCCTCTTTGAGTAATTTTTTTCCGACATCTCCGTAGTATGCATACATGCCGCCTGCAAGACCAAATAGTCTCTGCATAATCGTGAAAGAGATTTTTTTTACTTTTCTATTCGTATTATTATTATTATTATATTATCATTATTATTGTTGCCAGTTATGTCGTTACGGTTCAGTACTTTTTTTCGTCCAATTTTTTTTTCTCTCTCTCTCTCTCTCTTTCTCTTCTCCTCTTTTGATCGTCTCTCTTTTCGTACGTTTCTTTATTTTCTTTTCGATCGCAATCGTGCTGTGAAAAACCAACGCCACAGGCTACTACCGATCGAGTAGAAAGTTGCACACACAGGTCACGCTGAGAAATTTCCGATAACTCTTGTTATTAACGACGAACGAAACCAAATCACGCCCAATTTCATTCTTTTTCTCTCTCTTTCTCTCTCTCTTCTCTTTCTCTTTCTTTTCTCTTTCTATCTCTGTCTCTTTCTCTCTTTCTCTCTCTTTCAACTCGATCCTGTCTCGAATCATTTCAAACATCCTCCCTTTTCCCAATCCTTTTTTTTCACATCCATGTGAGAAAAAAAAAAATTAAAAAGAAAAAAGAAGATAAGAAAGAAAGAAGATATACATATTCTCCGGAACGTTACATCGTTGATGGTCTTTTAAAATTAATTGCCTGCTGCCTGTTTTTTTATATATATATATTTATATATATATATATACATATATATACATATATATATATCTATCTATATAATGTTATTAATATATAAACATATGTTTGGATTTTTGCTATTTAGATACGTTTGATTAATCTCTAATCTTGATTGGCCAAGGTTTCGTCATCTCTTGGTTATCTGCATAACCGGATATTTAACCCTTTCAAAGTATAGCTCGAGGCTGGGAATTGGGAGAAGGTTTTCGGGACAATTGTCTGGTAGTAGAAAACGTGCATTCTCATTGTTGTTACAACCCCCAAAGTTACCCCTGTCTCACACCCATTTTCTTTTTTTTTTCTTTTTTAATTTTTCGCAAATCTTTCAAACGTCTCGGCCGACAGTACAAGCCGTTTCTCCTATACAAATGAAACGTTACGAAGTTTTTTTCTTTTTTTGTTACGTTCCTGCGACTTCTCCTTTCTGCTTTTCACTTTACTGCAACACTATGAAAGGATTAAACGAAACGTCAGTGAAGGAACAATGAATCTTGACCAATCAGGGGATCGAACGCCGTAGTAAGCAGAAACGATGACATTATTTTATTTCTCCTAATCGTACATATGTATTACATGGTAGTGCAATGACTATAGATTGAATGAAAGCGTAGTGATGTCCATTAATTACGTTTCCTTTTATTTTATTTGTTTGTTCGTTTCTTTTTTTTTTCCCCCTTCCGCCCTCTCTCTCTTTCTCTATCTGTTCATCATGCACTTGCATCGATATTACACTTGACAAATCGTAACTTATTATTATACCCATCTGTGACGCATACGTTGTAACGATATAACGCCATCAATTACATGTGAAATTTTTTCTTTTCACTATACAGGCCGGCACTTACGTGTAACAGAAAAAAAAAAGGTCCCTCTGTTTCTATTTATGATCTCGTTAGTTTATAGTCGGTGTCGTTGCATCTCGTTTTATTTATACTTTTTCCATTTGTCCGAGGAAAATTCCATCGAATCGATCGATAGCAATATCTTTATTACAGTTCGATTACTGTCACCCTAATTTACCCACGTTTACCATTTCTCTCTCTCTCTCTCTCTCTTTCTCTCTCTTTGTATTTATTAACAATATTAATTTTAATTCTTCCCCCCCCCTCCCTCCCCCCTCCGTAGCGAATACACGCATTTACTTTGTTTCTTCTTTTTACTTCTTGTTAGCTAGCCCAGAGCTGCCGGCACGACGATGCTCTCCCAACGACGAGAGTGCCCTCCGTTCCGCCACGTTTCATTTCACAAAGTGCAATTCCATTCGATGAAGTTCATTTTTTGGGCTCTTCGTTGCCGCGTGAGCGCGCCGGAAACTCTCGGTTGGCAGAGCATGGAACGTTGCCGCGACGTTGCCGTAATTGTAATTGCACAAAGCTAATGCTCTTTACAGCTTCTCGTAATTTTTTCTTGTGTCTTTTTATATAATTATATATATATATGTGTGTGTGTATGTGTGTGTGTGTAT